CAACAACCTATTAATCTAATCTTATGTGAAGTAACTGCAGTTCCTTAACAGGCTTGGCACTACATATACCACTGCTCAGCAATATAATGCTGGTGGATAAGGAAGTGTTAGCACCTGATTAAAACTTTAAAGGTGATTTGTCAAAGACCAACAGATAAAATATTCTGGTGCCCAGACATTAGGTCCCTGAATCCAGGTGGCTCTCTTTCTAACCAGTCTCTTGAAAAGCTACGATTGCAAGCTGTCAGCATAAAACTTTGCTTTTGAATATGTGATAACAACATTTGGAATGTGAACACTTCGTCCCTTGATACAAAATACATAAGCATGCTAAACAAGAAGAAAATACTTCTCAGGATCCCCTTAAAATAGACTAACTCCTCCTAATACAGACTTTCTTATTATACTCAAATATACATGGGGCTAAAATGCTACATATAACCAGGCAAGTCTCAATTTCAAAAATAAGCAGGTAAATGAAATGTCAGTAAGTCTTTTTTTTTTTTTTTTTTTTGCTGCTGTATCTTTTAAAAAAGCAAAATCAACTCACATTTAAGCACCAACTCCATGCAAGTAACCTGAACGGTTCAGTCTTTTTGTCATGTATGAGGCCTTTGGTTCTCCAACTACATGGGATCTGTGTTGTTAGCTTAAAAAATACAGAATTGGCCTTTCAAAAAAAAATAATAATCTACAGCAACCAATAAATAGTCTCAATCAACCCTGCTGCCTGCAGCTGCCTTCTGAAGGCTGGGAAAAGGAGGTGGAGAGAGCAGAGCGAGGCTGGGAAGAGGGCCGCCGCGGCTAGCTAGCTACAGAGCAAGGAACACGCCCCCATCATGTCCTCCCTGCTCTGTCAGAAGGCGGGTTGTTGTCAGTCTCCCGATCAGGCTGCCTTAGAAACGATTTTAAAAAGGAGGCAGGAAGACTAACAACTAAAAAATGCCAGCTCCTTGAAAGGAGGGGCCAGGGTCTCTGGGACCTCCTCCCTCCCCTTCTTCCCAGGATCTTTCCGTATATCTAGAGGGGTGCAGGGCACAATAGGGGACAAGGGGTTTGCCCGGGACCAACGGCAGAGCACGCAGGAAACGGCTGGTTGTTATCTTTCCCTTTCTGTTTCAATCAAGAGCACTCCAGAGCAGCAACCCCCTACCCCGCCCTCCGCTTCAGCCCCTAGCAGCTGCTCTTCCTCCTCCTAGAATCCCGCATCTCATTCTCCCCCCTCCCCTACAATTCAAACTCCCCCTTCTGCATCCAATGGAAAACAAATGCGCAACGCCACTGGCTGAACCTGAACTCAACTTCCCTTCCCAGGGCAACTTTCCTTTTTGCTGGTGGGGGCTGAATGATGCTCATCAAGGCATCCCCATTCCCGCCCCGGTACTAATGGGGAAGAAGCAAAGCTCTTGACCCCTTCATCCACCTCGGGTCCCCCTATAAGAATCAGAGAGATAACCCTAACTCCTCCTTCTAAGGAATAACTTTGCTTCATAGCCCCCCCCTTCTCCCAACCAAAAGCAACCACCACCACCAGCATAATAAAGTAAAACTGTCCCTTATCTACTCTCCTCACCCCAACCCTGCTTCCCCCACCCCTTCCAAGCCCCAGGATTGGCCTAGGAAAAGGTGGATCAATAGTGAAATGACGGAGAAGAGAAGGGCGGGAGGGAGCTAGGGTTGGAGACTGCGTGCTCTCAGGCGCAGTGGGTGGGGTAGGAGAGCAGCTGCTTCCCCTGGGAGGATGCTGCCCAAGTCCCCCCACAAACACCTCCCCTCGCAGGGGCCCCCTTCCCCAGAGCTGGAGGAAAAGACTGCCTCCTCTCCAGGGGGAATGGTGGAAAGCTGCTCCTCTCTGCGCCTAGGGGACAGTGGACTATTTTCCTCCCAAAGATGCCACTAATCCTTCATTCTAAAGGAGGGAAAGGGTGGAGTGAAGGTAGAGTAATTCCCGGCTACCAGCAGGCTAGAAACTGTAGCTCTGTAAAATGGGGGAAACAGACGGCTGGACGAGGAGAGATCACCGTTATCTTCAGAGGGAAAGGAGGGGAAGGGAGGCAAGGTGGAGAGGAAAGTAGATTTTTCCCGGCGGGGTAAGGAAGGAGGAGGAGGGAGGCTCTAGCTGCGTGGGGTGGGGGGTGGAGGACGGAGGGTGGAGGTGAAGGAAGGGGGAGTGGCTGGTAGTGCAGGGACCTGGCCCGGGGATGGGGCGAGGGTTCATCAGGTTTTCGGAAACAAGGTGCTGGAAGGGACATCGGTCCCCAAGGGGTAGGAGAAGAACGTGGCCCTGGATGAGGCCATCACCCGAGAGATGCCCAAGAGGAAAACTGCCCCAAGAGTAAAACATCTGCCCAGAGAGGGAGGCGGGGATGTGGCGGGATCAGGTCTCTAGGAGGGAGGGAGGGAGGAATCTTGCTCGGATGAGGTAATCTGTGAAAGGGAGGAGGGGTTCAGTCCCGGGATGGGAAACCCCGGCGAGGGGTCTGTGCCAAGGGATTTGGGGAAGGGTCAGGGGAATGAAGGGGGGGGCAAACGCCCTTAGCCAGATGGGTCCAAACCCCGGGGTGGGGGCGCCTGCGGGTCTGCACCCATGTACGGGGTCCCGAGATGGGAGGGCCGTTCGCCCCGGGTCGGGGACTCCAGGAGGGTCCCGGAATTGGGATGCTCCACAATCCCGGATGGGGGAGGGGAGGGGGGCTCCGCAGAGGGTCGAGACCCCGGACCTGGGGGTTCCTCGCCCCCTTACCTCTCCGCTGCCGCCTCCCCCGCCGCTCTCCCCAAACACAGCCCGGAACCGGCGCAGGTTGGTGCCGATGGCGGCCGAGACCTGCAGCGCCGCGTCGAAGCCCGGGCCCACCCGGAGCAGGGCCGGCCCAGAGGAGGCTGAGGACGATGACGAAGACGAAGACGAGGCGGACGACGAAGAGGCTGCTGAGGCGGCGGCCGCTCCCCCTGGAACCCCAGCCCCGCTGCTTCCCGCCGCCGCCGCCGCCGCGGCCGCCACAGCCGGGGGGGAGGGGGGCGCCCCGGGGCCGCCGCCGCCGACCGGGGGCCCGGGGGGAAGCAGCAGGGCCGGGACGCGTTGCCGCGGGGCGCCCCCCAGGCCCCGGCGCCCCCCGCCGCCGCCGCCCCCGGTGGTCCCGGGTCGGGCGGGGAAGCGCCACCGACAGCTGTGCGCCATGTTCGCCCCGTGAAGTGAAGCAGCGAGAGGGAGAGGCGACAACACAGGGGGGCGGGGAGGCGGAGGGGGGGGCCCAGGGCCCCGGAACCTGCCTGAGCCGCTCGGCGCCGCCCGAAGGCCTGCACCCGGCCGGCCGCTATGCAGAGCGCCGGGCCGCGGCCGCCCGCCCGGCAATCTGTATAGCGGGCTCGGGCCTACGCTCCCGACGCCGGGCCGCGGCTCCGCCAGGCCGAGGCCCGGGCCGCCGCCGCCCGCCCGCCCGCCCGCCCCGCAACCTGGATAAGTGCATGCCCCGCCCTCCGGGAGCGGCATTGCTGGGGAAAAGGAGGGGGGAAGGAAGCCCAGGAGCCCGACGCGGAGCGCGGGTTCCGGGGAGAGGGGGAGGGGGGCGAGGGCTACGGGGAGGATGGAGGCGGAGGGAGCCCGGCCGCCTGCAGCCTCGAGAGCCGAGAGGCCGATTACACACGTTCCCGGGATGCGCTGGGAATCGAACCGCCCGGGAGAGCAGCTTCCAGTATAGCGCGGCTGCCGGGTCGGGGACGAGTGAGCCTTCTCTGCCTCGAGGCACGGATACAAGATGGGTTAGCCCTCATTTAACGCTTCTAGAATAAAAGGGCCCTTATTGTGCCATATGCAAAACGGAAGCGTTGCCCAGTTTACTATATGCAAAATAGAAAGGCCCTCATTGAACGCGCTTTAAAAATTAAAAAAAAAAGAGAGCCCCTCCCATTTTCATGCTGGAGCTCTCTCCAAAATGCACACAGCAAGTGGCAGGTCTCCCGCCACCTCCTCGCCCTACTGTGCACTCGGAGCTGAGGAACCTCTGGCTCTCGTGCCCTTTTGCAGAGAGTTGGGTCGTGTTTCTCCAGCCCGGGCATTGGGGCCACGGCGTGCTCCGCTAACGAGGCGGTGTTACAACGAAGCTGAAGCTGGATGGCTAACGGGGCCTGGAGGGAAGAGGCGGGCAAAAGCGCCCCCGCCCCTTCTTCCTCAGTTCTCTGCCTGCCGCTGCATGCAAAGCAGACCCTAATGTATGCATGCAGAGGGAGGGGGGCTCGCGAGCACGTTTCTGATTAAGAGAGGGGGAGGAGAAGAGCGTTGGGCATTATGATACACTGGGTGGAAGGGGCCCGCCGGCGGCGAGCTCTGTGCGCGGGGTTAGTAGGCTGAGGGGGGAGGGGGGAAGGAAGGAGGAGGGTGAGGGCGGGGGATGAATATCCACCCGGTTTACTTTATTGCGGGAAAGAGGGGAGGGCGCCTCCAGCGAGGCGTTAGAAGCCTACAAGGCTGGAAAAGCGGAGAGGGGAGGGAGGGGTTTGTACCGGGAGAACTTGTGTTGGCTGAAGCTGGGGGATCGATGCACAGCCTGCAGGCCCCGGGGCAGCCTCCATCCCCCCAGCCGAGGTGGAGTTCGCTGGAAGGTCACGCAGCCTTCCTGGACTCCCGCACGGGTACAGAGCACACTGCTTGTAATATTACAGCCTGGGGCGGCGAATTTGGGAAGGAGGGGGAGGGTCGTGGTGAGCAGGTTGCAATCAGCTCTGGCCCTCGGGAGGGTGCACTGCACGCCTCCAGAGAAGGTCCACGGCCTCCTGGTGCTGAAAACCTACGTCCCTCCGCCGGCGAAACGTTAGTGCTGGGGGAACGGTAGGGTGGGGGCTAGAGGGGAGCAGAGAAAGGGAGGAGACACAGGCAAGCTCCAACTCCCCCAACTCGTCCGGGATCGATCGTCGTTCCAACCGCGCAGGATGGAGCCCAGATGGTTTGCAAAGCGCACACTCACAGCGCACACACAACCAGATTCCGTTGTTACATCGCGTGGTTTACTGGGTGCAAAAGGGGTGGGAGTAGCGGGAGAGTCTCTTAAGCGGCAGCCCCAAGACTCTGGTAAGGATATAGACACACCATTGTGGACCGTTTCTCCATTGCAATGTATTTGGCGGTAGGCGCTGGGGGTTTTGCTTCAGTGTAGCTGCTCTGATCAGTTACAGATTGGCGACCACGTGGATTCCCTCATGCATCCTGATTTGTTCACTCTCTCACTCTTTCTCGCTTATTTTTCTTTTGTATTTGCCGCCCCCCCTTCTTTAATATGCATAACGGTCTGCAGAGGTAATAAGCAGGGGACTGAGTGACAGGCTTTACATAACTGTGTCAACAGGATTTCTTCCCGTCCTCCACCCCTGAGAAAACAAACTGGCTGGGTTCTAAGTAACCTCACTTCAAGCTCACTTCATTTGGCACAGGTGGGAGGTCTACAGGTCCGGTGGGGGCAGCAGGAAGAATGTCACTGAAGAATGGATGAAGTTCCCCAGACTCAAGGCCCTAGGTAGAAAAACTCCTTGAGAAATGTAGTTTGTCTCTTTGCCTCCAGAACTGGTCCAAAGGAGCCAGAGCAAACCAGAATTTGGTTTATTGTTGGAGCTTTTAAGGCAGAAATGATAGTAACTTACATTTGTTGGGTGCTTTCCTTGACCTGATTGTTTTATATGCGTTCAATTCTGGCCAGCCCTCTGATTTTACAAATGGGGAAACTGAGGCCTAGGAAAATGTCCAAGGTCACACGGCTAGTATGTAGCAGCACTCAAAGTCTTGGGGGTTTGACACCAATATCCACTAACCATACTGCTGATCCCCAAAGATAAACTATGCCACTTCACACCCATTAGGAGGGTTACTATAAACAAACAAAAAACAAAAACCAGAAAATCAGTGCTGGTGAGGATGTAAAGAAATGGAACACTTGTCGGTAGGAATGTAAAATGGTACCGCTGCTGTGGAAAATAGTAACAAAACATTATGATGGTTCTTCAAAAAATTAAAAATAGAATTATCGGGCACCTGGGTGGCTCAGTTGGTTAAACGATTGCCTTCGGCTCAGGTCATGATCCTGGAGTCCTGGGATCGAGTCCCACATCGGGCTCCCTGCTCGGCGGGGAGTCTGCTTCTCCCTCTGACCCTCTTCCCTCTCGTGCTCTCTCTCTCTCATTCTCTCTCTCTCTCAAATAAATAAATAAAATCTTTAATAAAATAATAAATAAATAAAAAATAAAAATAGAATTATCATGTGATCCAGCAATTCCACTTCTGGATATATACCCAAAAGGATTGAAAGTAGCATCTCAAAGATTTGTAGACCCTTGTTCATCGCAGCATTCTTCACAATAGCTAAAACACGGAAACAACTCATGTGTCCATCAACTGATGAACAGGTTACCAAAATGTGGTATATTCATTCACTGGAATATTATTCAGCCTTAAAAAGGAAGGGGAAAAATAGGAAGGAAATTCTGTACTATGCTACAATACAGATGAATCATGGGCACAGACACTAAGTAAAATCAGCCAATCACAAAAAGACAAATACTGTATGATTCCACTTGTGTGAGTTACTTAGAGTAATCAAAATCATAGAGACAGAAAGTATGTGGTTGCCAAGGGCTAGGGTGAGGGGAAAGGGGAGTTATTGTTTAATGGGTATAAAGTTTCAGAGTTACAAGATGAAAACAGTTATGGGGATGGATGGTGGTGATGACTGTACAATGTGAATGTCTTAAAAATGCATGTACTTTATTTTTAAATTTTAATTCAGTTTCTTTTTCTTGAATACCTAATACATTCGTATGGTTAAAAGTTTAAAGAAATGAGGGGCGACTGGGTGGCTCAGTCAGTTAAGTGACGGGTAAGCGTCCCACTCTTGATTTCTTTTTTTTTTTTTAAGATTTTATTTATTTGACAGAGAGAGACACAGTGAGAGAAGGAACACAAGCAGGGGGAGTGAGAGAGGGAGAAGCAGGCTCTCCACCGAGCAGGGAGCCCGATGCAGGGCTCGATCCCAGGACCCTGGGATCATGACCTGCGCCAAAGGCAGACACTTAACGACTGAGCCACCCAGGCATGCCCCACTCTTTTTTTTTTTTAAGATTTTATTTATTTATTTGAGAGAGAGAGAATGAGAGAGAGCACGAGAGGGAAGAGGGTCAGAGGGAGAAGCAGACTCCGCGCTGAGCAGAGAGCCTGATGTGGGACTCGATCCTGGGACTCCGGGATCATGACCTGAGCTGAAGGCAGTCGTTTAACCAACTGAGCCACCCAGGCGCCCCGCGCTCCCCACTCTTGATTTCATCTCAGGTCATGATCTCAGGGTCATGAGATGAGCCCCAAGACAGACTCCATGCTAGGTGCCTGGGTGGCTCAGTTGGTTGGGTGACTGCCTTCGGCTCGGGTCATGATCCTGGAGTCCCGGGATCGAGTCCCACATCGGGCTCCCTGCTCGGCAGGGAGTCTGCTTCTCCCTCTGACCTTCCTCCCTCTCATGCTCTCTCTCTACCATTCTCTCTCTCTCTCAATAAATAAATAAAAATCTTAAAAAAAAAAAAGACTCCATGCTGAGCGTGAAGCCTGCTTAAGATTCTCTCTCTCTCTCAAAAAAAAAAAAGTTTAAAGGAATTAAAGTCTTCACTCTTGTTCTGAACTCCCCTCCCCCAGTCATAGCACACCTTTTCTTAGGGGCAACTAATGTGATCTGTGTCTCAAATAGTCTTCCAAGGATAGTTTGTGCCTACACAAGCAAGTGCACATAGAAGTTATCTCTCATAAATGAGAGAGTATTGACCATGCTTCCTGGATCTTGCTTGGAAATCTATATCTCGGAAATAATTCCTATTAGTAGATGGCACTTCCTCATTCTTAGGGCCAAGTGGAGTAGATGTTTATTTGCATAGTTGATTTCACCTGTTCTCCAGAGGTGGCCACTTAGGTTGTTTCCAGACTTTTGTGATTTCAAACAATTTTGCAGCACATTACTTTGGCCATTTGTAATTTTGCAAATGTGTAAATATCTCTGTAGTATAAATTTCTAGAAGTGGAATCACTGAGTCAAAAGGTCTGTACCTTTCAGGGCACCTGTGTGGCCCAGTCGGTTAAGCATCCGACACTAGACTTCAGCTCAGGTCATGATCTCAGGGTCATGAGATTGAGCCTGACATTGGGCTATGCACTCAGTGCAGAGTCTGCTTGAGATTCTCTCTCCCTCTCCTTTTGTCTCTCCCTCATGCTCATGGGCTCTCTCTCTCTCTCTCTCTTCCTCGCTCTCTAAAATCAATCAATCTTTTTTTAAAAAAAAGGTACCATATGTTTGTAATTTTGATAGATGTTGCCAAGTTATCCCCCATAAAGATTATACTAATTCATAACTCCCACCAGCAATGTTTAAGAGTGCCTCTTTCCCTCCAGCCTTCCAGAAAGGATTTTTAACTTCTTGATCTTTGCCAACCTAATGGAAATGCACATATTTGACATTTTTTCCAAGTGACAAAAGGGAAAATTTAAGACAGGAACCCCAAATTGTGCCCCTTTTTGCAAGCTTATGAACTACTTCTGGTTTGAATGGACCTCTAGATGTTCACTCCCTTTCCCCCTCTCTAGAAAGACTTTTCATCACAAGCCAGTGTTGTGGTGGAACTAACATGGGCTCAGAGTCACCAATCTGGCCTTGAATTGCAGGTCCTGTAATTGTAGCTATGTGATCTTGAACCAGGCGCCTAGGCTTATCACACCTGTTTCCTAATTTGCAAAAATAAGGATATTAATAGCAACGTCACAAGAGTATTATCAAGACTGAATGACATAATCTAAGTAAAGTGTCTTCTCTCTCATTCAGGTAGACACATTTTACCCCCAGGGATTTCCTTAGGCAATGGAGAAGATGCCTTCCCTCAAACCATCAATGTCCTTTCCCCCAACTGCCCGCCAATGGAAAACATTACATTAGTAGTCCTAAAAGTAATTGAACTAAGAACAGTGCCTGAGTCATTTAAGCTTGCCCATTGGACGGCTTGATCATCACTAACAGAAGATAGTTCAGAATCTTAATACTTTTTAAAAAGATTTTATTTATTTATTTTGAGAGGGAGAAAGCAGGGGGTCGGGGAGGTAAGGGGTAGAGGAAGAGAAACAGACTCCCCGCTGAGCGCAGAGGCGATGGGGGGTGGGGGATCGCAATCCCACAACCCTGAGGTCAGGACCTGAGCTGAAATCAGGAGCCAGGCACTCATCTGACTGAGCCATCCAGGTGCCTGGACAGTTCAGAATCTTTAGATGCTACTGTCTTCTGGGGAAGGAAGGGCCAAGTTTATTACCCTTCTACACAAGCACTGTTTATTATAAAGGAAGCAATGGGTACATTTTGCTACTGCCCTGAATCCATGAGTTTCCATTTCTGAGCTCCAAAATATTAGGTATAGTGACACCTATGACTAAAAGGACTTTATTATTTTTTTTAAGATTTTACTTATTTGACAGAGAGAGACACAGCGAGAGAGGGAACACAAGCAGGGGGAGTGGGAGAGGGAGAAGCAGGTTTCCCGCGGAGCAGGGAGCCCGATGCGGGGCTGGATCCCAGGACCCTGGGATCATGACCCGAGCTGAAGGCAGACGCTTAACGACTGAGCCACCCAGGCGCCCCGACTAAAAGGACTTTAAATATTGACCCCAGGGGCGCCTGGGTGGCTCAGTTGGTTAAGCGGTTGTCTTTGGCTCAGGTCATGATCCCAGGCCCTGGGATCCAGCCCCGCGTTGGGCTCCCTGCTGAAGTTCTCCCTCTCCCTCTGCCCCTCCTCTCCACTTGTTCTCTCTCTCCCTCTTTCTCTTTCAAATAAATAAATAAAATCTTTTTTTAAATTAGTTAAAAGATAAAATAAATAAATAAATACTGACCCCAGCGTGGACAACAGGCTTTCTATAAAGGATTAAGTATAGTTCTGGTCAAAGGCAAGAGCTAGCTGATTTGGGGGCGATGAGCTCTTTGAGAACAGGAATCATGTATTACTTACCGTTGTAGCCCCTGTGCTAAGCAGTATCTGTACCAGCCCAATTAATGTTTGCAGAATAAATGACCCTTCCCAGCTGAACGCTCAGACCTTGGGATTCATACCCAAAGGGTCATGTTTTATCGGGAGATTATGGCAGTAGCATGTGCTGGGCTATTTGTTTGTTTTAAAAAAAAAAATTTATGTAAAATCAGTTTAATTGTCTCCCTTTGAAATTATACTGATGATGGGGTGCCTGGAGGGCTCAGTCGGTTAAGCCTCCAACTCTTGATTTTGACTCAGGTCATGATCTCAGGGTCATGAGACTGAGCCCCTCACCAGGCTTCATGCTGAGCTCAGAACCTGCTTACGATTCTCTCTCTCCCTCTGCCCCTTCCCACCCGCTGTGCATGTGTTTTCTTTTTCTCCAAAAAAAAAAAAAAAAAAAAAATTGTACTGCTGACTAAAGTTCTTATCTCTCGAAGAGAGAAAAATGATAAGAAGAATTATTATTATTATTTTTTAAAGATTTTATTTATTTGAGAGAGAGAGAGAGAGAGCACATGAGAGGGGGAAAGGTCAGAGGGAGAAGCAGACGCCCCACCGAGCAGGGAGCCTGATGCGGGACTCGATCCCGGGACTCCAGGATCATGACCTGAGCCGAAGGCAGTCGCTTAACCAACTGAGCCACCCAGGCGCCCTCGATAAGAAGAATTATTATTTGATTATTACGATCTCACCTTGTAGAAGCTTGAAGCAAGTGTGGCACTAAAGCATTTCCTTTCCCCCTCTTCCTAGTTAACCTCTAAAGTGTACTCTTACCCTGAAGCATAGGAAAGAAACTGAGGGTTGCTGGAGGGAAGGTGGGGGGAGATGGGGTCACTGGGTGGTGGGCATGAAGGAGGGCACATGATGGAAGGAGCACTGGGTGTTGTATGCAACTGATGAATCACTGAACTCTACCTCTGAAACTAATAATACACTGTATGTTAATTAATTGAACTTAAATTTAAAAAAAGGAAACCCCCCCAAAATAAAATAAAGTGTACTTTTTTTTTTAAAGATTTTATTTATTTGGGGCACCTGGGTGGCTCAGTCGGTTAAGGGTCTGCCTTCGGCTCAGCTCATGGTCCCAGGGTCCTAGGATGGAGTCCGACGTCAGGCTCCCTGCTCCACAGGGAGTCTGCCCCTCCTCCCACTTGTTCTTTCAACCTCTGTCTCAAATAAAATCTTTAAAAAAAATAGGATTTCAAAAATCTTTTTAAAACTTAAAAAAAGATTTTGGGCGCCTGGGTGGCTCAGTTGGTTAAGCGACTGCCTTCGGCTCAGGTCATGATCCTGGAGTCCCGGGATCGAGTCCCACATCGGGCTCCCTGCTCGGCGGGGAGTCTGCTTCTCCCTCTGACCCTCCCCCCTCTCATGCTCTCTCTCTCTCTCTCATTCTCTCTCTCAAATAAGTAAATAAATAAAATCTTAAAAAAAAACTTAAAAAAAGATTTTATTTATTTATTCGAGAGAGAAAGAGAGAGAGCATGCTCACACACAAATGGGGAGAGGGGCAGAGGGAGAGAAAGAGAGAGAATCCCAATCAGATTCCCTGTGGAGCACAGAACCAGCAGGGGGGCTCAACTTGGGGCTGGATCCCACGACCCTGAGATCACGACCTGAGCCCAAATCAAGAGGCCACTACTTAACCGACTGAGCCACCCAGGTGCCCCTAAGGTGTACTCTTAAAGTCTTCTGATTTTGGTGTCCTTACCTTCAACTTTCTGTCCCTTTCCTTACTCACGGAGCCTTTACTGAACATCTGCTTTGTACCAGCTATTAGTTTTGATCTGGAGAAACGACAACGCCATGTGACAAAACTTTCACAGAACATGTGAAAAACAAAGAATACTTCAGTATTGCTTGAAGGTAAGGGACATGTGGGGAAGTGTCAAAAGAGGACGCGGCAGATCCTACCAAGGATTTTGGATTTCATTCAAGAAAGGTTCGGAAAAAAATGGAAAGATTTCAAGGAGGGACTGACGTGATAGGAGTTTGTGCCACGTCACTGTGACAACTGAGTGTAAGAAAGCAGGCTGACGGTGAGACTCGAGGCAGAGAATGCAGTTAGAAGGTCTCTGAGCTCTTCCCGGGACGTTAGACGCGCGTACCCATATGCAATAGTCTGGATTTGAGTGCCGGCTGGGGCAGTGGAGATGTAGGAATGAGGACAGATTCCATAGATATTTAGCAGACAGAATGACTTTTGGTGTCCACTTAGATATGGAGGGTGAAGAAGAGGGGTTTTTCTCAGGTTGCAGCTAGGGTCAACCAAGCAGATGCTGATAGCACCAACTACAATGAGGACAACAGGAGGAAGATGATACTGTTTGGTGATGATGAGCTTGGTTTTGGAACAGTCATGGTCGAGATGCCGGTGAGATGTGCAGGAGGAGCTGTTTAATAGGCAGCTGGATATATGGGGCTGGAGCTCAAGAACAGGCTGGAAGTCTAGATCTGGGATTTGGCAGCATGGAGAAGGTCTCTGAAAGCACGGGCCTGGATGAGACCACACGGAGTGTGTGTAGCACACAGAGGCAAATGGGTCAAGGATAGAACCAGAAGAAACCCAGGTCTATTGGGTGGGCTGATAAAAAGTAGCCAGTGAAAGCAATCGGAGGAAGAAGGTTCTGTGGGGTCAAAGCGGGCAAGTGGGGAGCCAAAGGAGAAAGCGTTTCAAACAGAAGAGCGGTAAACAACGTCAAATGTAGCTGAGAGATGGAGAAGCAGAAGGACCGCAGAGTGTCCTTGGGAGTGCTGGGGAATGGCTGTGGGAGCCGTAGCAGGGCAAAGGCGAAGTCCAAGGTCAGAGTGTATTTGGTTGAGGAGGAAACGAAAAGGACAAGGAGAAGCAAGTGAAGGCCACTTGGGGTTGCTTTTTAGGCTAATTTTTTTTTTAAAGATTTTATTTATGTTTTATTTGAGAGAAAGAGAGAATGAGAGATAGCATGAGAGGGAAGAGGGTCAGAGGGAGAAGCAGACTCCCTGCTGAGCAGGGAGCCCGATGTGGGACTCGATCCCGGGACTCCAGGATCATGACCTGAGCCGAAGGCAGTCGCTTAACCAACTGAGCCACCCAGGCGCCCCTAATTTTTGATTATTATACAAATAATGTATGCAAGGTGAAATTTTTCAAGTAGTATGAAACAATATAAAGTTAAAAGTCTGAATGTCCCTTCCTTCCCTCAAAAGGTAATCCCTGTTAAGTTTGCTGTCTAATATTTCAGAATATCCATAAATATATATATAATATATATAATGTATATATCTAAATATATGGACACACACACACACTCCTTTACTCAATGTGATTATAACATACAAGCTAATATGTCTGATCCCTTCATTTATTTCACTTACGTGAAATATGTCACTTCTGTGGCCTGGAAACCTTCCCGTATCTTTCTGACCGTATCACCTGCCCCTCTCTCCCTCGTTCACGGTGCTGCCCCTGCACTGACCTCCTTGCAGTTCCTGGAACACACCGGGCACACTCACAACTTAAGGCTTCTGCACTTGCCGTTCCCTCTGCCTGGAATGTTCTTCCCCCAGATATCCTCTTGGCTCCCTCTCTCACTTCCTTCAGACCTCTACTTACTTGTCCCCTCCTCTGAGAGGCAACCACCTGTCATTCACAAAACCTTACCCTACTCCATTGCCTTCATGGCACTTATTGTCTGTTTTTAGTTTATTATTTTAAAGTACGCTCCACGCCCAGCGTGGGGCTTGAACTCATGACCCCGAGATCAAGAGTGGCGTGCTCCACCAACGAAGCCAGCCAGGACCCCCAAAGCACTTATTGTCTGTCATGCCTCAGCTGACTTGTTCAGTGGCTGTCTCCCCCACGAGGATGTGAGCTCCCTGAAGAGAGGGACCTTGTCTGCCTTACAACTCTACATCCAGAGCCTAGAATACCTGACGCTTAGTAGGTACTCAGTAAAATAGGAAAGAAATAGAGCCAGCCTAGTACAGTATGATGGATAACCTCATAGTGTTGAAGACTGCTTGGATTCTGATCGTACCTCTTAGTAGGTGTGTGCATGCACTTGGGCGGGTGAATCCGTTTTCTCAGTAAGATAGGGTCATAGTGCCTCACTCCCTGGGTTTAATGTGTGATTATAGGAAACATGCTTGGAGCAGTAGCAGATACGTAGTGAGTTGTGAGGAATGGTCCTGGCTTGATCATTAGCAGTATTCTGCAAAGGTTCTAGTAGCGCCGACATCGGGCTCATTCTTCCAGCTCTTCTTCACGGCTTTGATTACTATTATTCCTTCTTGGCCTCCTGTCTCTGACCTTCACCCTTTAAACACCGGTGTCTCCTGAGTGCTTTTCATTTCTTACATTCTCTTCGGGTGAACTCATGGTTTTAACTACTACCCAGGCTGAAGAGTGCCCCAAACCGCACTGTTCCCCGGGGCCTCAGACTCTCTCACATCCAACTGCTTTGAGCATTTCCATTCTAATTACTTGTTAGGTTATATGACTCACTGAAGTGTGGGTTCCTCAAGGGCAGGGAGAGTTTCCTTGGTTATCTTTATCTCCGCTTCTCCAGAGGAGCTGCTCTTGGAAGGCAGACTTTGTAGGTGTTCACGGTCTAGTGAAGGGAAACAGACAATTAATAAATGACTCTAATAGGTCAGTGGGTGACAAGTGCTACTGAGCAGGACAAAGAGAAGAGAGAGCTGGGAGAGGCCGAGGTGCGATCGTTTATAAAGGACGGCCAGGGAAGACCTTTGGATATTTGAGCAGAGTGCTGAAGGACTGATGATGTCTGAGGAAAGAGTGTAAACCAGCAAATGCAGAAGGCCGGAGGTGGAGTGTATTCAGGGCCCAACGAGGGGGCCGGTGCGGGTGGTGTAAAGGTGACTGAGGGGAATAGTGGTTGGAGATGAGGTAAGCGAAGTAATGGGGGGAGGGTGTTTTAGATAATACAGGGACTTGAAATGAGATAACAGGTTATTGGAGGGTTCTAAAGAGAAGACTGACAAAATATGACTTCGTATTTGGAAGGGTGATTCTGGCTGCTGGTATAACAATTGGCAAGGGGGAGGGGCGCCTGACTGGCTCAGTCAATTGGGCATGAGACTCTTGTTGGGGTTGTGAGTTCGAACCCCGTGTTGGGTGTAGAGATTACTCAAAAATAAAATCTTTTTTTTTTTTAAGATTTTATTTATTTGTTTGACAGAGAGAGACACAGCGAGAGAGGGAACACAAGCAGGGGGGAGTGGGAGAGGGAGAAGCAGGCTTCTCGCAGAGCAGGGAGCCCGATGTGGGACTCCATCCCAGGACCCTGGGACCATGACCTGAGCCGAAGGCAGTCGCCTAACGACTGAACCACCCAGGCGCCCCTCAAAAATAAAATCTTAAAAAAAAAAAAAAAGAAAGAGAATAGACAAGAGGGAAGCAAAGGGTAAAAGCAGGGATGTCTGTGGAAGGTTACTACACTGGTTCTGGTGACAAGATAATGCAGTCTCAGCCTTGGTTGGTAGCATGGAGGTGATGAGAAATGGTCAGATTCAGGATATATTATGAAGATTGAGTGAGAATTTGCTGATGTATTAAGGTAAGGCTTGAGAGAAAGAGAAGTGAGGATGAATGGATAAGTAAATGAGTAAGTGAATTGGATGGGTATACATATATTCATTATAGAGTGATGGCTTACAAGGGCTGCCTACATCAGAAAATAAATAAACGGGAAATACTGCCTAATGACGATGCAGCCAAGTTTCTGAAAAGAATGTTTACATTCACAGCCTCTGGTTCCTTACCATCTTGCCTATATGCCTCAAACCGCCGTCATCTGCTTGCCACCCCCATTGAAACTGCTGACACCAAAAACCCCAGTGACTTTCAGGTTGCTAAAACTAATGGAGACTTTTGAGTTCTCTTGTTCTTGGTCTTTTTGCAGCATTGTTGAACTTCTGGACGTTCTCCCGCCTCCGTGTTTGTGACCCCACTCTTTCCTTCCTGCTTTTCCTCCTACCTCTCTCAACTTTCTATCTCAAACCCCTGCACTGGCTTCTTGTCACATATCCATCCCTCAATGTTGGTGTTTCTCAGAGTTATGTTCTTAGCCCTCTTTTCTTTCGAGTATTTCATTCATTTATTTAAATACTTACCGAATGCCACCTGTCCCATTGTATGTCAACTATACTTAAAAAAAAAAAAAGTTCTAGGTGCTGGGGAAATAGGAATAAATAATGGAAAAGTGCCTG